TGATTGCTTCTCACCTGTTAGCAATGAAATCCCATCCAGTTAATTAACCTGCTCAGAGATAAAGTTTATTACTGCCCTTCACCTTCAGCTCCAAATCTTTAAAACCATTAAAACAAGTAACTGGTCAATGAGTAAATCTTCTCCCAGATTGGCATTCAGGGCCTTCTCTGATCTGGCTCCAGCCTACCTTTCAGTCTTGACTTCCAGCTGCTTAATTTCAAGCAACTACTGCTCCAGTCAAATGGAAAAACTAAAGTATTCAGAATCCCCTCCTCCAAATTCTGCATATCTTAACTCAGTTCATATCTCTCAGAAAACCAAGAAAAAGGCTTTCTTGGAGTTCTGGCGTCTCCACTTCTCACCACCTCTCCCAATTGCTGCCAAGCCATAAACATAGTTACCTCCTTATTTGAAACCCTCCCCAAACTTTTTATACCTTTGTAGCATTTATTATTTTGTACCTCATATGTACATATTTATAGTACTAGAGTCTTGAGGATGCAATTCCAACCAATCCATTTTTGGTGTTGCCATCTTCCAACAAAATGCCTTGCCTATGATTGGTGTTCAGTAAATATTTTTTGACTACTTGAATGGAGACTCATTGATTTAACATTTTCTTTACTGTGGCTTTTACTCTTGGGGCTCACAACCATTGTTTCATCAATAGCATAAGGAGACTCTAAGTGAGGTGATTTTCGGTATTTACATTATATTCAAAACAGAGGCCTCAAGCCTCCCAGTCTTTCTGAAGACAGCCCTGTTGTTGCTCCCTGTCCTTAGTAGCTTTCTGTTTCTAGAAATCTTTTTCCTTTCCATGGAAGGGTTGGGAAAAACAGTCTTATGGATTTCACCCCTTTCTATAACTCTGAATATAGGTTTCATATGGCTCTTCTATCTCCTACCCCAATTTACTTGCACGACACACTTGAAACTGGTATTTTATGAGTATTAGCATTTTACAAGACCCTGAAATTCAATTTTAGGTAAAGCAGATATTCAGTCATGTCTGAGAGCACTCACATGAATGTGTTTAGGTTGAAGGAGAGAAATAGAGTAGCTTCACTGAAACGAAAAGGCCCTTCTTTCATTCAGCATTCATTTTCTTGATCACCCACTAGGCTTTAGGCACTATGTTATATGCTGATGATACAAACATAAATACTGGTCCTTGCCTTCAAGGAGCTCTGTGTCTTGTAGAGGGAGATGAACATATGATGAGATCATTATTATAGAGTGTGATTTGCACAATGTCAGAGTCAGGCACAGGGTGATGTGGTGCACAGAGAATTTTCTTTGAGAGCAGATGGATTTTTGTAACAAAGAAATTCTCTTTTGCAGCAGAGTGGGTGTGCTGATATCAGTAATATACATATTATTTTGTAGTTGTTTTTGTAGTTATTTTTGTAGTATCCTCTTCCAACCACTCGCCTTGGGCCAGGTGTCAGCATCCATGGTGGGTCTTGAGGCATGATTCATACAAGCAGCCACCCTGGCTTAATCAAGACCCAGACTTAGGTCCTTGCTCCTTAGAGCTTGTAGGAATAAATCATTCAAGGAGATGGCAGCAAAGGGGTAGTTTTCTTATGATTCATAGGGCTGAACTTCATGTCAGTGATATTTTGGTGCAGAGATTTTGCATGCTTCTCTGTCTATGGCTCCAATATTTCTAAAGGCATTACCACAGCTGTGTAGATGACTCATTGGGATAGCTTGCCCAAGTTATGACCCTGGAGGTGTGTGTGTATTGAGGGGTAGGGAGGTTATGCAGAAAGGTAAGAAAGCAAACCTAAGTTTTAAATGACCAAAGTCTACAGCTTTAAGTACTGAGTTATTTGTATAGACCACTCTAAGTTTTCTTTTTCTTGCTTTTCACATTTGGGGAGACCTTACTACTCACTAGAAACTCCTTGACAAGGATGGGGTAGGGTGACATGAGTCAGAAACAGAAATAAAAAAGGAAATTAAAATCCATTTCAAATTACCTCTTGTCAGCAGCTTAGGGAAAGGCTTGGATGGAAGGAGGCTGAGGATATTGGTTAGGAGGAGGCTGTAATATTGCTCTGGGTTCTTATGATTCACAGTTGGAAGGGGTCTATAGCTTGGAGTAATGATGACTTTGGTGATGGTGATGGGGGTCCCATTCCATTCAACAAATATGTATTGAGCACATACTACATGCCATCACTGACCTAGGCACATAAGATGGGCCAAAACAACAGCAACAAACAAATCCTGCCCTTCGGAGCTGAGTTTCTAGAAGAAACTAGCAAAAATGGTGCTGGTATCCGCCTCCCTCTTTGAAGCATTTTCCTCTCATGAGTTCTTAGTCATGAGGGACTTACTCTCCACCGAGTCCCAGAGTTAGTGAGAAAATCACAAAACTTTATTGTTTCCAAAGCCTGCAGACTGGTATCTGCTTACAATGTTTATGAGCAGGGAAATGGACCCTGGAGGAGACGTGGAGGCTCTGTGTACGCGTGTTGAGAGGGCTGGTGATAATGTACATCGGGAAGAAATTCTACAGCCTTACTATCCACACTGATACCTTCCCGCTGGGGGAAAGTGTACCCTGAATTGCTCCTTTCCACCCCATTTGCCTGTCTCCCTTTCTTGCTCCCTCCTCCCTTCCCTCCTAAATCCCTCCCTCGCCTCCTTCCTTCCCTCCCCTTGGTCCCTCCCCATCCCCTTCCCTCGAACAGTTCTCTTCTCCTCTCTCTCTCTCTCTCTCTCTCTCTCTCTCGCCTCTTTTCCTCTTGGCCCCTTTCCCTCCTCCATCCCTCCGCGGCGTCTGCGTCAGGCCCCTACTTGCGTGACGCGCGGGGTCTGGGTGGGAGCTGTCCACTCGCCTGGGGTGCTGAATGCAGCAGCGGCGGCCGCGGCGGCGGCGGCAGCGGCGGAGATAGCTGAGAGCCTTCTCCGCTGCAAGAACCTTGTTTCCATTTCTCGGACGGTCAGCTCACCGCCCCGCCACCTCCCTTCCAGCACCACCCCTTTGGGAACTGAGCCAGGGGGGCAGCAGTCGCGGCGGCGGGTGCTGAGCAACGGCGGAAGACGAGACAACACCTGGCAGCAGCCTGGAATCTGATTTGCTTCCTCTCGCCTTTTATAAGAGATATATTTATATACGGCTTTGAGGAGTCGCGAGGACCAAGCCGGAGCCAAGTGCTGGCTGTCTCCCACCTCGGCCACACTGCTTCGTTTCCCCCTCCCCACCTGCAACTGGCACCGCAAACAAGCCTTACCTCGTTGCATCTGCGAGGAGGTAGCAACAGCGAGCCCAACCAGCCGGAGGCAGCGGAGAGGAGGGAGGGGCGTTGGGGGGGGTGGCAGAGAGCCGGCCGAGGCCGCCCTTGGTGGGGGTAGCGGGGGCAGAGCTGCCGTGAAGACCCAGCAGCCGCCCTTCTCCACCCCCACCCCTCCAGAAGCACTCTTTCCTGATTATTTGAGAACCGAATTATTATTCTTTCACTAGTTTTATTTCATTTTTTATTGCCCTCCCTCCTCACTCCCCAGCCGCCCCCACCCCTACGCCTGCCTCGCCGCTGGTTGCATGGCAGCGCTGCCCGGGAGCGGGGGCTCAGAGCCGGCCCCCAGGGAAGGAGGAGGAGGAGGAGGATCATGAAGCCGGTAGTCGCGGCCGCGCCGGACGGCGAGCAGCAGCCAGAGGACGAGCCGGAGCAGCCCCCGCCCCGGAGACACCGGGACGCCGACCAGCATTCACTGCCGCCGCCACAGCAGCATCGGCGGCCGCGGGCAGACTTGGAGCAAGAGGAGGAGGGCGACAACGGCCCAGAAGAGGAAGAGGAAGAGAAGGCGAGGCCACTCACCCGCCCGGATCTGCCCTTCTCCCGGCCTTTGCCCCTCGCCCAAAGGGACCTTTGATGGAGCCAAAGGGAAGGGGCCCTGGATTTACAGACTGCCGCAGGGGTGGGCTGGGGGCTGAGATCATGTAACTACTCCTTCCTCCTGTCTCATCCCACACGCCCCTTTTCTCTACCCCTTCTCTCTGCTCCACTGCCTCCCGTCCCCTATACACACACCCTTCCTCTAGCCAGGATCTTAATGCTCAGGAAGGAAGCGGCTCTGCAAGGGTTAAAAGATCTTTTCTTCTCCCCCCACCACCTTTCTTTCCCCTTCCTCAGTCCATTATTTTCCCACTTCTATTCTCCTTAATTGGCTTTACCCTCTTCTGTGCAGCCTTTTGGCTGCAGAGGCAAAGCACAAGCCCCTTGCCCAATTTCACCTGCAATCCCTACCCACGCTCCCCCCGCCCCAATTGCTCTCTTAAAAACAACTCTGGTGCTTCTGGGGATTAATTGCCCCAGTTTTCTGCCCAGGAGAATTAAAACTTCTCCCAACCTCCTCTCCTCCCCACCGTACCCCCCACCCCCCACAACCAATCTCCTGCTACCTGAGGAAAACTATCTTTTCTCTCTGCACATGCAGTACTCAATATTTCACTCAGCTGTTTTGCCCTAAGCCCAGCTCAGTCCACTCCAAATTTGATTTATAATCTTCCCCACCCTTTTATACAAAAGAAAGGAGATTTCCCACTGCCTAGGAATTTGAGAAGAAATGAAAATATCTTCTCTTGGGAAACTTTCTGACAACTAGACCTTGATCTCAAGGCCCAAAGAGCCCTTCCTCAACATTTTTGTTATCCCCCTTCCCCTGCCATACCCCCAAGTCAAAGGCAAAAAAAGGAGACACCCTGAGCAAAGCTAAGGTTGGTGTGGGGCGGGGGCGGGGGGGCGCAAGAAAACCCTTTTTGTTGTTGTCGGTTTTTCCAGGGAGAGTTCAGAACCAGTGACTCACAGTTTTCAGTCCTGGGGGCAATCAATTGATTTGCTACTTTGAGGGGGTGTAAGAGGAGCCAGTGAGAAAGCAGATTCCCCCCATAACACAGCTCTGCTGGGGGCCCCCCCAAAACCATTCTCCTATCTTCCTTTGAAAAGACTCCAGCTGCCCCTCCTGGGCTCCCTGCTTCCCCTGGGCACATGCTGATGCCCTTGAGCGGGCTGCTCGGGTGGTGGAGGTGCTTCTGTTGCTGCTGTGCCTGGTTCCGCTGTGGATCGTGTGCCCCGGCTCCCCAGATGTTGCGCCACCAGGGTCTCCTCAAGTGCCGCTGCCGCATGCTCTTCAATGACCTGAAGGTTTTCCTACTGCGGCGCCCCCCTCCAGCGCCCCTGCCCATGCACGGCGACCCCCAGCCCCCCAGTTTGGCGGCCAACAACAACACCCTTCCGGCTCTAGGTGCCGGGGGGTGGGCAGGCTGGAGGGGCCCTCGAGAAGGGATGGGCAGGGAGACCACTCCTCTGCCACCTCCACCACCTTTGCCACCTTCTTCTGTGGAAGATGACTGGGGTGGCCCAGCCACCGAGCCACCCACCTCACTGCTCAGCAGTGCCTCCTCAGATGACTTCTGTAAGGGGAAGGCTGAGGATTGCTACTCACTGGGCAGCAGCCTGGACAGCGGCATGAGGACCCCGCTCTGCCGCATCTGCTTCCAGGGGCCGGAACAGGTGAGACCCTTTTTCCCTTTTCCTGCTGCCTTATGGTGTCTCCAGGTCTTGCACATTACTACTCGCCTGCTTGCCCTGGGGAACCATAGTGCTGTCTCTAGTGTGAGGAATATACGTTTTAAGGGCTCCTCAATGATGTTTCTTGTGGTTAAGTTTGCCCAAAAGGTGTCTGGTAGAGCCTGTTTGGTGACTCAGTTGTACCCCAGTTTTTGAATTTTCCTTCCAATGCTAGTGTCTTCAGTTCCATCCCAAAATTCCATAAGCATCCTCAGAATAGAAGATTCAGAAGTCAGAAGTGACAAAAGGAAGGAACTTGGTGGTACATTCATGCTTGAGGCCAAGAAATCTTTTTATCTGATTTGTTGTTACTGACATTTCCCCCAGCCCATCTTCAGTCCCAGATTCAACCATCTTCCGTCTTCAGAGGGAAATGTGCAGAGATCGTCTCCTCTTTCCCTATTCTTATAGACTGAAACACAACAAGCCTGACCCTATTCTCTTACTTTGAACTACCCCCTCCCATGTTACACGGACATCCTCAGCAGTATGTTTTAGTCAGCAAGGAAGAAATGGGGAGAGATTCTAGGTCCAAGAAGACTCTACAGTTTGCTAAGACACTTCTTGGCAGACTCATGTTTTTTTTTCCCTAGGTTGAAAGCAAATAGGTAAGTGGGTTGAGAGTGAGTTTAAGGGATATGGAGAAGGAAGGAAGGAATCTTGTCATATCTACTCCCCTTCTCAGGCCTGAAGCACATCAACTTAGAATATCCCTTAAACCCTCCCCATCCAGGACAGGGGTTGCCAAGTACAATCATGGACCAGTCTTCCTAAGTTTGAAGGTCCTCCCTTCCCTGTTCATTCAGATTTTCACAGATAGACTCACCCCAGCCCTTCCAGCTCCACTTCCAATCTAGTGTCTGCTAGAGGCTGGAGATAGTATGTGGACATTCTCCAAGAGTCATGAATTATGGCAACACTTCCCACAGAATCCCAGATAGAAAAGTCTCATCTGAAAAATCTGATCTAGTTAGTGATGCTGGAGAAGGAACATTAAATTGCACATTGGTCAGGGTTCTGTGGTCGCATCAGCTACTTTTTCAGTAGCTTCCCAGAAGTGGAGGGAAGACTTCTGGGTGCTTCCTGAACAAGTGGGAGAGCAGTAAATGCCATGCCGGTAATCCTGAGGGGGCTCTGGCTCTTGCTGAAGGCTTGCTTTGTGAAAGACAGGCTTAGCTAATACTTTCATTCATTTTATCTTTGCTCTGAATGGGCAACATGCTTCAGGGACAGATGATGACCGGGGTCACAGCCTGGGCATTATGAGAGGAGGTGACATAGATCTCAGTGTGCATAAATGTTTCTGAGGGGCTAAGGACTGGGTTCCTCCTTCTTATGACTAGACTTACTGAAGTCCCAAATGAAGTCCTGCCCAGAGTTGAGGACTCTTGTTAGGTGAGGCGGTCCAGGGCGCCTGCTCAGTGCCCTTTTTCCAGACCTTGTCTCCACTTCCATTGATGGGCACAAGGTGGGATGGTTTGGCTGAGAGCAAGAGTGAGGCCTCATTTTGGGATGCTCCTGGTCAGCCTTTTGCCCCAATCAGTAGCCTCATCTTTTCCAAAAGAAAGAATTACTTAGCTTCCAAATTTCTTAAGCTGTTTTGTTCCCATATGGGTTGGCTTAGGTCTGCATGTCACAGGGGCTGCTGGGAGTGTGGCTTCTGGCAGAAACACCCTTGTCTCTAGAAAACAGCAGGACTTGGAGCCTGTTCTGGATGGTATTTCACTGTGTGAACTTCTTCAAATCACTTTATGTCTCTGGGTCCCTTTTCCAACTTCTGTGGTTTAGAGGCACCTTTTACTGTCCTCCTTTTTTTCCTTATAAGTGTGTTGGGAGGATTCAGAAGATAATGAGCCTGAAAACATCTTGAAAGGGATTAAAATATAATGGCAGGTATTTTGATCATGAAAAAGCAGTACTTTGTTGAAAAGAAGAAGAAGAAAAGGATCAGTAGGAATATTGTGAAATACCCGCACGTGATATGGGGTCTGGGCAGAGGTTAAGAGCTTTCCTTTCTTGTTCATTATTTTTATGGTGTGTCATAAATAAAGCACTGAATAAAAAAGCTAACACCAATAAAGGAATGGGCTCTATTATTATGTGGAAGGAATAGGGGCATCGTGTTGGCATTAAGACTGGATTAAGTCAAGCACTTCCTGCATATGATGATTCTATTTTGGGGTTTGTATTTTTCGTGCAGGAGCCAGGAGATTTTAATGAGATTGTGCTATAGTAGTAATAAGAGAAGCATGTGTTGGATATGAACATATTTTTCCCTCTTTTTACTCAATTTTCTTCACAGGATTTCAGTGAGGAAGGGCGACAAAGGGGAGATGGGGAAAACCCTCTAGAGTAGGAAGAGACAGAAAGACAGAAAGTGAAGAGCTGAGATGTCAGTATCTTATTTTCTGTTCAGGGAGCCAGCTGTCCAGCAATACTGCACATGTGGCTCTGAAGGGAGAGCAGTCTGCAATCTCAGCAGCTGAATGTCTTGGTCTTTTCTTTGCCCAAACAAAGGAACCAAACAGCTCCCTAGTCATTTGCCTGCTGCTCCAGGGGCTAAAAGACTGCCCCAAATGAAGATCTGATCTCTTCCTGACAAGGGCTTCTATGTGGTAAGGGGCCATTGGAGGGTCCAACTAGTTCCAGGTTTGCACATGTCTGTAATGGTCTTTACATTCATTCATTCATGCATGCATTTACTTTTAAAATGTTTTCTGGGCACCTATAGTGTGCCAGATGCTGTTCCAGGCACTGAGTATCCAGGAGTGAACAAAACAGGTGAGACCTCTGCTGTCCTGAAGCTGACATTTCTAGTAGAGATGCAGAAACAGATCAGTCAACTAGTAGATAAATAAAGCGATTTCAGATGGTGTTGAGGACCATGATGAAAGTCAAACAGCATAATGAGTTAGACAAGAATGAAAGGGAGGTTTTGGGAAAGATGCAACTACATTAGAAAAAGTGATCAGGGACAGCCTTCCCAAGAATGTGCCATCTGAGCTGGCCCCTACGTGATGAGAAGGACCCCCTGATACGTTGGCCTGGAAGAAAAGCATTCCAGGTGGAGGAAATAGCAGGTTCAAAGACCTAAGTGTGAACAAGCTTAGCATGTTTGAGAAACAGAAGAGAGGACAGGAGGAGGCAGACGGATGGTGTGTGAATAAATGCTTGGAGAGCCAACCTTGGCTCCATGCTGGAATGCTGACTGAGTAGCCACTCCCCTCCTCTCAGCCATTCATCCAGGTTGGACAGGGGTCAAGGATCCATGGAAGTGTGGGACAAGAGCCCAGTTGGCAGCTCTTGACCCTCTGTTTCTGGCTGAAGCTGCACTGGTTCACTTCGATGGACCATGGTGGGTAAGCTGAGGTCTCTGAAACCAGATGGCCCCAGTTCAAGGCCTGGACAAGTAGCATGCCCCTCCATGCTTCAGCTTCTTCCTTTGTAAGACAGGGATAATAATGATAGACCCCAATTGATGGTCATTCTGAGCAACAGATCAGTCAACACGGTTAGAGCCATGCTGTCACAGTGTTTTGCTGTTATTATCTCAGAGGGCAAGACAGTGCTCCATCTGCCTCATTTAAAAGGAAGAGTGTGCCCCAGCTCCCAGTCTAGTCCCTGGCAAGACTGCTGTGATTGTTGTCTGGTGGTGGTAGTAGATTGCTTCTTGTGCACTCACAATCCTCTAGGTGTAGAGTGCGGCTCCTCTGTTTCCATCATCAAAGGTCTTTATTAAGTAAGTGCCTACCTAGGCCTGCTGCTCTGCTGAGCAGGGTCTGGAGACACAGGGCTGATGTGGCCCTGCCCTCTGGGAATTTCACAATCTAACCCAGACATCAGAGAGACTGATAGAGATCAAGAACTCACAAACAGTGGGTTGCAGGTGAATTATAGTAATATTGGATACAAGAAAGAGATGTGTGCTTAAAAGCAGCTAGTGTGGGGGGTGCCTTTTCAGAGAGACAAATGGGGGGAATGTGCTACCTTTTCCCCAATTAGTCAGAGAAGGCTTCTCTGTTGCTGCTGAAGACCAAGTGAGAAGCAATAGATGTAGGCTGAGTTTAGACAGCTAGAAGCAGAAGAGCTGTGAGACACGTGGACACCTCAACAAAGAGGTGAAACCATCTCCTAGGCAGGGTCAGCTCTGGAGCACCTAGAGATGGGTTCAAGAATGAAATCCACCATGGCAGTGGTGGTGGTGGTGGGGCACCTGTTTTGGACCAAATGGAAAAGAGGAAATGAATTTGGAAGAGATGAACAGGCTTGGTTTACCTCCCTTATTCTTCCTGGGGTTCGCTTCCATGGAGCTCCATGTTCAGAAGGGGCAAGAGTAGTGTGAAATATTTTAGTCAGTGTTTTGGGTCCTGGCAGAGTAAGAGAAGAGCCTTGCAGTGCTCAGGGAAACCTGGAGATCCCAAGATGCAATGAGAACCCTGGGAATGGAGATCAAGTAGAGCATTTTAGGAGAGACCCATACAGTATATTATTTTTCTTAGCACTATGGTTCATTTTTACATTTGTGTGTGTGTGTGTGTGTGTATGATCATTTAATTAATATCATTCTCCACGAAGAATGGACCCATCTCTAACATTTATGGACTCTAGAACAAAAGTATACATAGAGGCTCACATACCATAAGCCAAAATACCTAAAAGTAATAAATCCAGATAACTGTTAAATAAAATGAATTTTATCCTCCTAACCTGGCAAATAAAATGTCAAAACAACCTGGAAGACAGGTTTGAACTTAGAATTATTGGATTCCTTAGAATTCTGTGCTAGTCATATGGGGGTATCCAGCCCTTGTTCTACAAGCCACTTTGATTTTCTTTCCACTGCTGGCTACATCTGGCAGCAGGATGAGTCTTTGTCACTCACACACGTGGACATTCCAGCTGGCTTGCTCAAGCTCTGTCCATACAACCCCTAAACAGCTGTC